AAAAACAATATCTATATATCTATCAACCAAGTAATCTATTTATCTTTCTGTATGTATGCCATCAAAATGTCCCTGACTATGTTCTCTGCCTCCTCCCTTTCCTCCACTATTGCTACTACTGTGACTACAGCTGTTACCAGAAGTGGCACATCCTCCTTGCGCAGGAGATGGTTTACCACTCTTGGGTAGGACTGTGGTGCTCTTGGACCTCTTCTGGGTGTGGGTCTTTGAGAACACTGGTGTCTGGTGGGAAGGGAGAATGTTTGGAAGTTGCATCCTCACTAAGGCCACTTTCACACAAAGGTGGCATATCGCATGTGGCAAGTGGCAAATGACATGTGGCATGTGATTTCAGACCAAGGTTACACATGGTGTGTGTCACTCGGTTCACAAGATGACATAATCAGAGGTTGACGATATTGTTACTAAGTTATCTTGTAACAATTATCTCTGTCACTTGGAGGAATAAAGTGGATGGCTTTGGAGATAATGTGAGGCAAACTTATTCCAGTACCCTGAAAATACTTTTGAGGAAAACTATTATGATAATTCTACCACTGAGATTATTATTATTGTACTGAGGTTATATTGTGTATTTCCCAACAATATGTATAAATGGTATACTGATTGGTTCACTCTCTAGAAGAGGCATAGCTGTGCACAAGAGAAGGCAACCTATCACATCGTTTCCTCCTGCAAGACTGCTCATGATTGTTGTCTCCGAAGATTCACTTACTGGGCAAGCAAAGCCTTGAGTCAGATGTGTTTGGCAGAATCTTTCTAGACACTTCAAACCTACTCTCTGTATGCCATACCTCTGAAAGTTTTAATTTCTATACAGTATTTTATATGATTTTATTTTTTTATGTTATCTTGGCTCATAATAGGTTTGGATGTAAAAGAGCAAAGTAAAAGCAAGTTAGTCTATTCTTGGTGTGGCATGCAGGTTGCACATATCAAATGCTATGTGCCATGCCACTTGTGTGTGAAAGATTTCATGTTTCCATAGGTTCATTTTCAAGTGGTGTGCCACATGCCGTGCTACCTTAGTGTAAAAGTGCCTTAAAGAGGCATTCTTTCCCTTCAGTCCCCAGCATGGGTGCCTGGGGAGTAGGTATGAAGTTTAGCCTTTTTTCGAAAAACTGCCTGAGAGTTGCCTCTTTCCTGGCAGGCCATGTTAGCCTAGACTAGATGCCTTTCAGCCCAGTTGGGACACATAGTCGTGTCCCTTTGTCCACTTTCACACCAAGTGGCATGCCACTTGAAAATGAATGCATGGAAACATGAAATCTTCCACAAAGATGTGGCATGGCATGTAGCATTTGCCACGTGCAACCCACATGCCTCATCAGTATTGTCAGATTTTAGTGGAACTTTCATATCCAGACTTATCATTTGCCGAGCTAGCATGAAAAAAATAAAAACATAAAAATAAAACCTTTTAGAGGGATGGCATACAGAGTAATTTTGAAGTGTCTAGAAAGATTTTGCCAAACACATTTGACAAAACGGCTTCACTCGCCAAGTGAACAAAGCTTCAAATGAGAGGGCAATGACAAATGTCTGTGTGATACATCACCTCCGTACAATGAACTCTTAGTGGAAGAATTGTCAAAATAATTTCCTCACAATCATTTTCTGGAAATTGGAACAAGTTAGCCTCACATTATCCCCCGAAGTCATCCACTTTCTTCATCTAAGTGATCGATAGATAATTGTCACAAGATTACTTAGGACTTACGACAACAATAACATTGGCAACCTCCGATGATGCGATCTTATAAACACACTGACACCCATGTATAAACTTGGTCTGAAATCACCGTGTTACATGTCATTTGCCACATACCACCTGCCATTTGCCATGTTCGACGTGCCACCTTGGTGAGAAACACTTCGCATGTGGCATGGCACGTGGCACACTACCTGAAAATGAACATATGGAAACTATGAAACCTTTCACACAAGAGTGGCATGACACTGCATTTCCGTGCCACACCAACATTGTTTTCAGCTTTTACATCCAACCTTATTAGGCAAGTTAGCATCAAAATATGGTATAAAATTGAACCTTGTAGAGATATGGCATACATGGATTAGTTTTGAAGTGTCTAGAAAGAATCCGCCAAACATATTTGACGAAACGCTTCGTTCTCCAATGAGCAAGGCTTCAAATGATAGTGTACTCATGTGCGGTCTTGCAGGACGTAGTGTGACGTTTGCCTTCTCTCGTGCACAGCAATGCCTCTACCACAGAGTGAACGGATCACCTTGACATTTATACAAACTGTAGGAAAGTACAAGAGTTTGTATGATACAACACCTCAAAACAATAAAAATACTCTCAGTGGTACAATTATCAAAATATTCTTCCTCAAGAATTTTCAGGGTATTGGAACAAAGTTGCCTTACATTATCACCCAAAGTCACCCACTTTAATAATTATTCCTTAAAGTGGCAGACAGATAATTGTCACAAGATTACACGTGACATGCGCCACGTGTAACCTTAGTCTGAAATCACCGTGTCGTGTGCCTTGCGGCAGACGACACTTGGGCCTATTCTTCTGGATGGCTCATAGTAACCACATTTTGAATACTTATAGCACTAAAGTGTCTGTCACATAAAGTATCATAATGGAAATAATCATAATATTGAAAATTAATAATAATATACAAAATGAAATGTCTCTCACGAGCAGTGCGACATATTCCGGCCAAGAGACGTGAGCGGTTCAATTATCACTAATGCTTAATTTTGACATGACTTAAGGTTTGTTTCTATTACCTCACCCAATTAACATGATTGCTTCACATAATACAAGGACAACACGAAGAGAACCTGAAAACTCTGTGGGTTGCTGGATTTTGGATGCATGAGTGTATGGAAGATAATGGTTGGAAAATAATGCCTTCCTGCCGCTGGATAAAGGCCAAGGCCGGTGGGATGATAATTCTCACAAGCTGCGTCAGAAGTCCTTATGGCACTGACTGAGTACTTTTATCTTTGTATCAACATTTTTGGTCAGTCATTGGTGCTGAGCAACTACATCTCAGAATAATGCCAACAGATTGAAACCATTGTCGTAGATCAACCATGGGGCCCGCCTGAGACGCTGGTCGTAAAACATGTGAAAAAACTGAAACAACGGCTTTTGGCAAGTGGTCGACTACAACCATACATTGTTAGGGACTACTTTATTCTGACTCCAAAAAGACGTTTTAGAGGAAATAGACGACTATAAAGAGTCACCGGGAAAACGGCACAGTGACACCAGACATTTGCTAATATATCATCATTTCAAAAGCGAGAGGGAAAATGCCCGCTTTGTACAAACTTGGAGGAGGCATTATCCACCATGTGGAAATCACGAGAGGCACTGCAGATCTAGAGGAGCTCTAAATAACTGACCTGGCTGACCACAACTATAAAAGGTGCGGATGCAGAATGCCTTTCCAGATTTCATTGGCCTATAGGAGGGTGGGCGACAATAGGGGGCCTAAAATTGCAACAAACTGTAGACTCACAGAGCACGCAATTACAGTCTGGGGTGTGGGCCTTCTGAGGCATGGTTTGCCTCGACTAATGACGTATAGATACTGATACTTATACTCTGGAGATGTGGGGGATCGTCACATCATGGAGCGATACGCAATACAACTGAAAGTCATAGTTATAGCAATCTTTTGTCTCCTGTGGATTGTGATTTGTGCAAATAAAATAGTTTAGAGAATTACATTTAGAGGATAGCCCAACAGAGAGAAAACTTCCCCACACCCTTGCCTCGTGTAAATCCGCCATTGTTGCGAGGGGCATTTCCCGCCTTAAAAAAAAAAAAAAAAAAAAAAAGAGAGAGAGAGAGAGAGAGGGAAATGCCCGGGCAGCGAAAGCAAGATAGAAGGGATTTCTTGATCAGCTAAATCATTTTATATAAAATCTTGCTACGATTAGTTTCGTAGAGGGTATAAAATTAGCCTAAGATATATATTATAATCAATTCACATTCATATTTGCAAGATGTCATCATGCCATTAAAGAAAGTATACACAGTACCTAATCCAGACAATAATAATAAAAAAACGTGACACCAAGATTGAAAAGTTCTGCACAGTAGGTTCTAACTAAGAACAAATAAAGTTCTGAATTTCACTTACCCTTGACACAGATGACTTGACACCATCGCTTTGCAGGTAAAAATCGCTGCCCTCGCGATTTTTTTTTACCACCGCATCAGGGCTTTCGAGTTTTACAAGATATTTCATTAAGTCAAAGGTTAATATTGTAACACTCACCAATGTACACACTAAGCTTGGATATGAACAGGTATACCCCCCCCCACCCCGGAAAAATGGAGATCTTGCAGCCCCAAATTTTACCACTTTGACCGCAAGAATCGAATAACAAGCTTTTGCTATCAAACCTAGAGCATAAACACCACATTGTCACATTTTGTACTAGAAACACTCACTTAGTATAATAATAACAATTTAAAAAGTTGTCCTTATCTCGCAATGCAAATAATAGGCAATTGCTGCAATCATTAAAAAAAATATATAATAATAAACAAAAATCTTGGATTGGATTATGATTATGATCATCATCAAAATTTATGGCATTCAAGTTGGGCCAAGACACATCTGGTAAAAAATCATGTAAATTGTTTAGAGAGTTATTCTGCTAACCATCAACAACAGACTAACCAACGCTACAAAACCATAACCTCCTTCGCAGAGGTAATAATACTACACTGGAGCAACCAACGACCACCAAGAAGCAACATTGAGATCCTAACGACCCGTCACCATGACTAATAAAAAAAACTAAAGCCATCATACAGTCAGTGGCAAATTTCCTTTCACATTAGATATCATGATGAATAGGTTCGAGTACTAATGCGTACTTAGGTATTATAAAACTGTCCCAATGGGAGTAGCATTTGAAATCAAATATATTGAGTTACCCACCGTGTTTTACCAGGGACGCATTCAGGGTCACGGCAGCGAAGGCGCACGGGGCACTTCCTGCCAAGCTGTATAGTATATTTTCATCCACACTTCGATATACTAAAATAGATAACATGCAAGAAGGCTAATAACTAAGAAGTAAAGGATAACAACTCCCCGAAAGTGTATAGAAATACTCCATGACTGCTGTCATTTAATCCTAGTAATTAGCTATGTCTTATAATATCACAGAAGTCACAGTAGTACCTCAGACGGGACAGAGACACACAGCTACACTTATTTTCATGCATGGCTCGGGTAAGTAATAAGTATATAGTGAAGTATTGTCATCTACTGTTGCTTGACTTAACAGGTATTAAGTTACATAATTAACATTAAGGTAATTTTAACATTAATTCATGAAAGGCATACTTTGGAGACCTTTGATTTGTGATATGAAGCATACTTTATATTTTCTCATTTTGGCAGTATTGTCTTTGAATTCTGACAAACATATTACTGCTGTGTGAGGTAATGTAGACGTTCGTATTGTATGTGAATAGCATTATGTGTATAAATTGTGTGAATTTGATATTCATGTTTAGTATATGATTATTATTTTTCTTGTGGTTATTTAAGTGTAGACCAGACTATACTGCAATAAAGTTCATACTAGCATCTGTACAATATTTATTTAACATTATTATCAAAGTAATTAACCTCTATATATGCTAATGGTTTTATAGTTAGTCATGTTAGTATTGATATAACCAATGTATTTCATGATTTATTTAATAGGAGAACTTAGTTTTATAGATCCTTTCACACACACACACACACACACACACACACACACACACACACCACACACACAACACACACACACACACACAACACCACACACACACACACACACACACACACACACACACACACACCACAAACACACACACACACACACACACACACACACACACACACTGACTGACTGACTGACTGACAGACACAGACTGACAGACTGACAGACAGACAGATAGATAGATAGATAGATAGATAGATAGATAGATAGATAGATAGATAGATAGATAGATAGACAGACAGACAGACAGACAGACAGACAGACAGACAGACAGACAGACAGACAGACAGACAGACAGACAGAGGGAGGCAGAGCAATAAGCTTACTTAAGTACCCAACCTATTATGAAACACTAACAATCATCCTGCCTTATGCTTTTACAGGGTGGAATGGCGTACTATCCAAGAACGATTTGGAAAGTGTTTTCGGCCAGGAATTCACATTTCCTCACATTCGGTTGTATACCCAACATCTCCAGAAAGACCCTATACACCATCCAATGGATTGTTACAGCGTGTCTGGTTCGATAGGTATGAGTTCCTGTGTTTCACTTCTAGTATTAGATTTTTACATGTATATTGGTCTTCTGTAATCTTTTTCATATTAGTTTATGATAATTCTACATCATTTGGTTAGATTTATTTTTTAAGAGAAATAGAATCGATTTTGTACTCTGGGAATGATAAAGAAGAAATATGCTGTTATACATGTTTAGGAGTATATAAATTGTTTGATTATGTCATAGGATTTAAGTCTTGTTTTCTCTACCTTACACTTAATTATTTGATCCTTAGTTCATTATTTCCTTGATTTCATCTGTCACTTTAACAGAATTTTTTAAATATGAAATCATTGTGCTAAAGAAAAGTGCCAGTAAATTAATTTTTTTTTTTTTTTTTTTTTTTTTCCTTGATATCTTGTCAAACCTTACTTTTATGAATATCTGTTTGTCTCTCTGTCTCCCTCTCAATCTGTCTCCCTCTAAATCTTTTTATATACATACGTATGTCAGATGACACAATTTTACAGGCAGGCAGTGGACATCAATGCTGCAGAGGATGTCTCCACCATCAAACCCATGGCAGAAGAGCTCAATAAACTGATAGACAAGGAAGTCAGTTTGGGAATTGATGTTAAAAGGATTGTTGTAGGTTTGTATTTTCATATTTCTTTGTGAATGTTTTCTGGACTCGTTGAAGTAATTTGTGAAAGAAAATTGCAACAAATTCTGTCAGTTTATTGTGGTTATTGTGAGAATTAGTGTAGAAGTTAGTAAATAGTAAATATTGTATTTTTATGACTGTTGTATATGCTCATTTGTAGTATATTTATTGATTAGTTTCTCCAATTACTGTTACATTGAATCTTTGCAAATGATTAAGCAAATATTTCTGTTTAAATTACAAGATCTGTTAAAATGAAATGGGCTGTTACAATTTGCATAAGAAAACAATTGCACTATTATATATGATTATTTTCAAATAATTATAAACTCATGCTTTAATTTCTGAGTGGCAAAATGCAATATATAGTAGGTTTTTGTTTGTGTATAATTACTGTAAGAATACATTTCCTCTCCAAGCATGGTCAACAATTATTTTCTTCCTGGAAATAGATTAAGGAATATTGATGCCATAATTTAAGAATTGATAATGAAATATTGATATAAAGATGAATACCCAAAATGTACGTCCATAC